CTGAATATTATTATTACATTTGAACTGAATTTCATCTAGGGTATACAAATTCATTCTGACAAAAAACCCCAGCAATTAAAAATAAAATATCATTATAAAAATGGCTTTTCAAAGTATATAGTTCTTTACAAATCCCTAAGCTACAACTGTGCACCACTGAGGTATCTGCAGGCACTGCAGCCAACATGTGGGGCTCCAGCTCCAGCCTGGGCTTCTCAGGTACCACTGCAATTTCCCATCAAACATTTACATCTTCTGCCCTCTCCCCTCTAAATTCACCAAATCAGTTTTTGCCTTATGGTCCACCCTAAAAAAACACATCTTTTCTCTTTTTGCTATGCTGACCCCTCAGAAGGATGAACGAGTTCAGGTGCAGCTGCACAGCAGAGTGAGGGCAGTATATCTTACTGCCTCGTGCAGGCTCAGCCCTTCGGATGTTGGCTTTACGATCTAGTTAATAAAATATTTAAACACCTCATTTTTATGCCCACAGGGAGCATGATTATAACCACAGGCATAAAGTGTTACTTGGCCAGCACAAAACAGTGACAGATGAGTGGGTCCACATGCAGAGTGTCTTTCCCAGATGTGCTCCAGGGGCTGGCTGGAGAGAACGCCTGTGCCGGCAGGCAGGACAGGCAGCTGTGCACCGGCAGCAGGCAGCTGGGATTTGTCCTGTGGGACATTGGGACTGATGCCTGAGACTGAGCATCTGCCATCAGTGTTCAAGGCTTTAACAACCCAAACAAGACCAGTGCTGCTGGGAACAGGGCATTGCACTGAGTTCTCGACTCTGTTTTTTTCACACGCACAATAATACCCTAATTATTTCCTCCTATTAGTCCTAACATGTGGAAATCCATCTTACGTCATGGTAGAATTAGTCTTCACTCACTCTGTTAGATTTTCATTTCTTGTTTGGAAGTATAACCCACTTAGTCTCAAGCTAGCAGAGGTTTTCAGCGTCCTGGTAATATGAACCTCAGAAAACACAAAACATAAGGGACAGCTGGGATATCATACTTGCCAGGTTTGCACTTGAAATAAATACAGTCACAGAATTCTGAAGAGGGGGCAAATATAAATGACAGCAGACCACCTCAAGATACCAAGCTCATTTTCAATTTCTTTCCTGTTCCGAAAGATTACACAGCTACAGGATCAAAAAATAAACCCAGTGATCAGAAGCAGGAGCAGCTCCATCTCCCTGTTGCACTGACCAGGCGGGCACTGTGGATTTGCTGCAGCCTCCAGGCATTGCCTGTGCCTGAAGCAGCCTCTGCTCTGAGCTGTAGGCAGGTTGGGGAGCTCAGAGTGCCGAAACTTCAGCTTTAATGTACACAGATATAATCGCAAACCTTTTACATGAGTACCATTTGAGCTAACCCATTAGCCTTGCCTAAATTAGTCTGGCTGTTTATAAGATATTAAATGCACTACAAAGCCTAACATGTTTGTTATGCTCTATAATCAGAGCACCTGTTTAAAAGCCCACTGCAGCTGTACTTCCAGCGGATTACAGGCCATTAGGCAAGTTATGCAGTGCCTTATTTTTATAACCTAATCTCTCTTCCTCTTTCACATTTGAATTTTAGAACCATAGAAATGCGATTCTTTCCCCTCCATACACCTTCTCCAAGTCCTTTAGTGATTGAGATGAGGAGAGTAATATTAATATTTATACAATGCTCAGATCTAACTTTCTGTTGCTATGGTAAAGTACTGTCATAAAAGATTTCATTAACTTTTAATCCTATTTAACACCATTCTTCCCTCTTGAGACTATACTGAAACTTTGGATACTCGTGGGACACAATTTTGGTAAGAGATAGAATCATAGAATCACAGAAAAGACCTTTAAGATCAGAAAAGACCTTTAAACAGGCTTTTCCAACCTGTTTAGGTTGGAAAAGACCTTTAAGATTACCAAGTCCAACCCTTAACCAGGCACTGCCAAGCCCACCAGTAAACCATATCTCCAGGTGCCACATCTACATGTCTTTTAAATACCTCCAGGGATGGTGACTGCTCTGGGCAGCCTTGGGCACTTACAATGCTTGACAATCCTTTCACTAACAAAATTTTTCCTAATATCCAACCTAAACCTCCCCTGGCACAACTTGAGGCCATTTCCTCTCATCCCATCACTTGTTGCTTGGGAGAAGAGACTGACTCCCATCTTGCTCCAACCTCATTTCAGATAGTTATAGAGAGTGATAAGGTCCCCTTTGAGCCTCCTTTTCTCCAGGATAAACATCCCCAGGTCCCTCAGCTGCCCTTCACAAGATTTGTGCTCCAGATCCTTCATCAACTTTACTTCCCTTCTTTGGACACACTTCAGCACCTCAAAGTCTTTCTCGTAGTGAGAGGCCCAAAACTGAACACAGATTCTAAAATATTTATAGTTTTGCTTGAATTGTTAGAAAACTGAATAGAAAAAGACCTTGGATTGGAAGGAGTTTCCCAAATGTGTTTACAGTGATGCTGTAGCAAGCATTAAGTGAACATCAGCTATTTGAAGGATCACAGGAGAGATCTGCACTCCTCTGTGGAGGCAGCAGGAGGGCAAGAGTGGTGATGTGTTTGAAGGGCCTCACTGTACCTCTACTCAAGGACCAGACCCTCCCTCCAGCTGTTTTTTCTTTTCAAGAGCTTTAAAAATACAGCATTTCGCATAGAGAATTCCTATAACCTTCATTTACTCCCACTTAGTATTTTCCTTATACATAAATAAAAGTTGCTATCAAACAGAATATTTCCAGATAAAATAATAATAAAACTAATTACCTCCAGCTCAGTATGGCCCATGAGAGAACAGAAAAGACACATGACCCACACTGACATGGGATAAGATTATGATGCACATGTCGACATGTCACTAAAATAGCTTCTCCCATCTCAGAGGTTCCTTTTTAAAAGATTTATACAAATTACAGCAATAGTGGTAGGTTAAGATTGTTTTCTTTATCAGAGTTACAATCCATTTCTATGATTGACACTTGTTATTTTAATTCACTGGTATGGAGTAGCTCTTTGTGAAGCAAAATATTACAGTCACAGAATATCATAATCCAAGTTAAAAATAATGTCATTATAAGTACTGTATAGGCCCAGTCAGGGCTATTTGTGTGATCCCTTCCAGGTAGAAGGGTCAACACAAGGCAGGTTAAGTATTCTAGTTTTCTCAAACTAAAAGCCCAGTGTGCAACTGGTGCACTTTCTTGTAACAGCACTCTAGGTAAATGTCCACAGTTACAGGCAGTAACCAGCTTTATAAGGCATCAAAAAGAAGCAGTCAACCTTAAAACCATGATTTTTTTAAAAAGTATATCTCTACATTTTCATTCTCCTTGAAAGTCTGAAAAAACATATTAATCAGACAGCAGTGTGCCCATTCATGATGCTTTGATCAGGAGTTATGTAGGATTTCCCAACAAATGAACTCAAAGGCAATCTCAAAATCACCAGAATTCTCGTACTCACCTTCTTCAGGAAATCTTATGATCTAGGCCAAAGTTTATAAAGAATTACCTCATCGTTAACATTTTTAGTTTGTTTTATTGTACTTTATTCTGGTTTTAAAAGACAAATAGAAGCAAACTAGACTTAATTTTTTTTTTTTCTTTAAAGGTCTGAGAAGTGTTTCAGTGGTATCTAGAAGCCTTTCTCAGGTCTAATTATTCTTGCACATTCACTGCAGTGTTGAACTTTGAAGCCAGTCTTCCAGACCAGGAAAAATGGTATCAGAAGTCACACTTGAGGTTACAAAACAGAGCATTTGAAGGCAAAAAGACCAATCCCTTCTTGGCATGTGCCAGGACGACAACTAACTAGACTCCATTTTAATTCAGTGATTGCCTGCATGAACAGAGGTGTCTATTGATCTATTTATGCACGTCTATCCATTACAATAAATTTTAGTACTTGCTGCTGGAATTGGGTACGTTATCCTTTTTATGCTAGTGATAGAGATTTAAATTTTGGGTTTGATGGAAAAGAGTAGTTATGAGAATCATCAATTCTCTAACCTTGCTGTGATCTCCTCAGAAAACTAAGGAGAGTAGACTTTTAATTCCTTCTTTACTATGTTTTCGGGAAGATATATGTAAACAACCCCCTTAATTAGCTCTATTTCTTATTTTTGATATTTTCAGCAATCTTTCTGAGTATTATGCAAATTTCTGCTGAATGAGACAGTCTACAAATAATCCAATTACAATACATTAACTATTTATTATGTTAGAATTTAAATTTATTATGTCCTGCTTGGCAACTGCTTCAATACTATGTAAATAGAAACAAAACCAACCAAACCCAAACTCAATCACTCCAGTTTTTTTAGGTAACAGAATAATTATTAAGCGATAATAAAAGTTAGTTATAATATAAATGCACAACACAATACTCATTAAGATAATTATTTGTCTATGTAAGAGTGAAAACAACATCACTGATTTATTCCTGTTGCATGTAAGCCAAAGGAAGGCCTCAGTTTCATGAGGAAAATTAGATTTCCTTGTCCCATTTGATGATTTTGGTGGCTGTGTGCTACCTTTCCTGGGTCAGAGTGTGGAAAGAAGGATGAATGGAGCAAAGGAGAGCTTGCATGGTGCAGGAAGGGTTCAGATGTTATATAACTTCATTTTTATCAGTTTGTTTTTTTTTTATAAACCTTGCTAGCACATATTACTGAATACAGCATACCAGGACTGACCTTAAATCCTCCTTTAAAAGAACATAGTATTTTTTTTCTCACTCATCACTGTCATACAATAAATTTTGCTGCAATTTACCTCTCCAGACAAGAATTCTCTGACGAATGGCCGAGCTAACATTTCCTGGAACACATCTGGCTGATACGTCTCACCTGGATATGCCCCGACTCAAGTCACGGTGCATTCACCGCTTTGAGGAGAGGCTGCCCAGCACTGGCCTTCTCAGGTACGATGCACGTTTCTGAAGTACTCAGCTTGGCTTCTTCCTAATTTTCAAATCACTTTGTGATTAAAAGCGAAGAAAGGGAAATAATCCCGTCACAATAAGACAGCCCAGAGTGGACTCGTCCTCTAAAGTATCGATTAGGGAATGACCGGGCAACCACTGCCCTGGGCGCCATCTTGTTGGGCAGGCGAGCGGTGAGTGAGCGCTCTGTGGGGTCCTCAAGGGGGGCCTGGGGGCTAATATACCCCCATCTGCAGAGGGTCCCTGTTAAAGCATCCCATTTTTGTTGTACTTTTTGGGGCTGTCGCTCTGTGGAGGATCCCTAGAGAATCTGCCTGCCGTCGCAGCGCTGGGTGCTGTGCCAGGGAAAGGGAGGGGTACCCTCAGGAGCTGCCGAGGAGGGGGCTCGCACCGGGCCTGCCAGCAGGAACACTGGCATCTCCCTTCCTTTCTCAATGCTGCAATAATATCATAACTGCTTTGGTAGATCAAATGTGAGTCCACCTTCTGTGAAAATGTTCCACCAAAGTCCCCGGGAGGTAACCTAGTTTTTTAAAGGTTTTGTGAGTTTGTTGTTCTTACCAACATAAATGTTGCTGTTATACTTCTAATGTCACGTTTCATATCTTGCACGCCATTTAACTAGCAATTATAGAAGCTCAGTTTATCTCCATCACTCTTTTCCGAATGCTAGCGTTGCTCATTAAAAGGTTATCTCTGTACTCCTCTGCCCAGCCCTCTGAACCTGTGTCAGGCATGAAGTACATGGAAATGATGTAGTTTTGTGCAAAATGGCAATAAACTGCAGTGCTAGCTTTCAGTCAGATTCCCTGTATGGACAGTGCACACGGTATTGGCTGGATCCTGTTCCACAGCATCCATCACCAAGCATAAGCTCATGTTTCTTTTATTTTTGGTGTCCTCTCTAGAGGTTAGGTCATTGCAATGTTTACTGGGGAGCCCCTCCTGACTGGAAAGGTTAGCCTGGCATTACATTATGTGGCTATCATTAAAATTCCTGTGTGGAGTCAAGTCACAAGAAATGTAAGCAGGAAAGTGAAATCTTGACAAGCTTAATGGTCATCTGAAGCTACTGTGATTTATTAGTTTGTCCCCTGAAATAAAAGTTTTAAGTTGATTGTGCTATTCAATAACAGACCAAGTGACATAATCTGTCTCAAATTTACTCAAGTGGCAGCCAGAGCAGGACCTTCCTAAGACCCTGTATACGTGCTGTCTCCTGAGTGCTGTGGAGAAGAGCTTTGGACTGATGTTTTCTGGTCTCAGAAATGCAAGGCAATACCTGTCTGCACAGGACAAGCTGGAGCCAGTGCATGGCTTTGGCTGAGGGGCCTCTCTGTAATTATATAGTCAGGCTAAGTAAACACTAAGGAGCTTTGATACAAATGAAAAGGAGTAGGGGTTTTGCCAACAAAGGAAACAAAAACCAAATAAAAATTTTTGGAAATTTTGAGCCTACCTTATTCCAGAGTTATCTGTAAATGGACCTTAATTTGGTGTTACTTTTATTCGAATTATTTTATTTTAGCCTACAGAAAGAGTGTGGAGATTATTCCATATTGTGGTCATGATTTGCAGTTTGGGATTTGTTTTGTGAACATAACTAAGTGATATTTCTGTTCTTTGAGTGGATGAGTACCTAATTAAAACTTTTCAGGAAATACTTGTGAACACTTCATGTGTATTGCATATTCATCAGAGTATCCGCCACTATATATTTGCATGCATATTCATTAAGTTATCTTTACTTACAAATTGTTCAGAAATAATTGATTGCTTGACTATTCACTTAAAGATAAAATTCATCAAATGGGATATGGATTCACTCATCCACCAGATATTTAGATACATTTTAAAAATAGATTAACAAATGTACTAGAGATGCCAGTGACATATGTATGTCTCATGTTTAAGTCCCAGCTGATGGCCTGATTTCAGCGTGTCCTTTGCAGCATTGTTAAGCATTCTAGTCAACTCACTTACTTACTATTCTGATTTTATTTCATTATTTTTCATGTAACACAGTAAATAATTATTATTCCTTGCATTAGCATTGTTTGACTCTTGTGGGTTTGTTGTCATGCTTTTGCTTGGTAATTGCTTTGTTTGGTCTTGGAGAATTGCATGCTGTGGTTCTTTCACTGTTTTATCATGTAAACTTTATTTTTTTGTTGCTAAACTCCATTTTGTAACTTTCTGGAAATGGGTTGATCTAAAATGAAAACAAGATTTCACCATGGCATTTCCATATCCTTGTATTCTCTTTATATCCTAAAAGGTGTATAAACCTTTGTGGGTTTTTTTTCTGGCTATATCATTAATTCATGTCTGCATATATTATTCCTTCCTATCTTTCAATATCACATCTTGGATTTTATCTTTCAGTTGCTTTCCTCTTATGGTTTGTTTGCATTCTTTGATGTTCTTCCTTTAATTATTTTCTGAAAATTTTAATCTTGTCTCCACACTATGTGTTGTCTCTGTTCTTGCGGTGTTCAGAATTTTTAATTTAGCACCACCTGCGAATTGCACTGGTGCACTGAGAGGTTTATGTTTGTTATATAATACTGTTATGAGAGGGTTTTACTTTAGGTGAGTAGTGGATTTAAGTTTTTGTTTGAAACTATATTTCAGTGGAGTCACCGTAGCTGGACTCTGGCAGCTGTAATATAATACCTTATTCTGACCACAAAAATCTAGGGCTGAACCTAGCTAGGAGCAGAGTTTCAGCTCAGGAGTTTGCTCTTTTGCATGGATGTAAAGAATGGGGTGAGTCCCTCATTCCATGCAGATTAAGGAATGCAGATAAATGGCTATATATGTCACATGGATTTGAACAGGAAGCCTCTGAGACTGCTAATTTCACCTGAACTGACTGTTGTTCCCTGTAGCTGACCTCATTAAGTGTCTCAGAGGTTCCTGATTTCATGATGGGAGCTGGATTGCTGAATTTGGAAGAAAAAGATAATAAAAAAAGGCCTAATGAAGATTTGATCACTCCAAAATCAGGCTGCTATACAAACCCAGTCATTCCATGTCTGTGACCATAGTGGTGGTATCAGATTTTCCAGCTAATAAGACCCATGTGCTGGGCTTGCTCCATGACAAATGAGAGGGAATGTAAGTCTTCACATCCTTCACCTCCAGGTCAAGGTGAAAGAAATGAACTACACTTGGTTTGAATCTCCCGTATCTCCCATATATCAAAGCCCACCTGCATTTGGCATTGCTTCCATGAGTTTTTGTGGCTGTTACTCTGGAATTGGTAACACTTACAGGAGAATTTATTGTACACTCCCAGTTCAGCTGTCCTCCCCTCTTGCAGAGGGATACTGTAAGATCAGTGCAAAGGGAATGACCTCTAAACAGTAATGTCCATTGGCTCAATGATAGTTGGATTCCTCCCTGAATGATAGGAACCCTTATTACCTCATGGGGTTTGGGTCCTGAATGGCAAGTAGAAATGTGAAATTTGGAAATCTGCTTTTTTTGGTTTGTGCATTCTATTTTGCATTTATTTATTGGGGAAAAGTGTTAAAGACTGGCCATTAAAGATGTTGAGGTAGAATGCAAGGTCAGCCATGAGTAACTGAATCAGCTTGAAACTCAAAAGCTGAATGTCAGATAGCAGTTTTCAGGATTTTTTAGTATTATTTTACCTGTCAGTCTATTTCATCTAAAAATCCTAAAAAAAAGCTGTCCTGTCATTGAAAACCAGAATAGTGAAGATTAAGACAGTTTAATGCTTTAATTGAAAAAATAAAACCAGTGAAAACATGACTCGACGCACTGCTCTTCATATGAACAAAAAAAAAGGCAACACAAATTGTTCCTTATTAAAAATTCTTACCACCATGTTTAAGCTAATTCCATTTGATACTCTATAGCTCAGAAAGTATTTTTGAGACTGTCAGACTTGAAGATGTGAGTGAAGTCATGCTGACAGTGATTTGAAATTTCTACTCTGGCATTTCGAATTTGATTAAAGGTTTGAGCTTTTAAAGCTAAAGTGCATGTTTTATAGAAACGCAGTAGGAACCCCATTGTCAAATGGTCTGAGGAGCTGTGAATCAACAGCTATCATCAAAATAGCACAAATCCTCCAGCAAGATCTCCTGAAAGACTATGGGGTGTTATTATAGCACCTAGTGGAGTATAACATGTTATTTATTCTGCAGGCATTTTTCCTACAGCCATCAGTCTCTTTTGTAACAAAGGCTCTGTCTGAAGGAAGCACATGCAGCTTCTCTAGGGCATATCAGTCCTGGTCAAAGAAAGTTCTTCAGCATTTCTTGTGCAAAGTAAGAGCAGGGACAAATTCATACTATCATCATACCTCAGTAGCTTGCACACACTATTTTTTGATATATGTGTGATGGTACAGGAATGCAGTCTTTATGATGGGACTCCTATTATAGTTTTGGGGGTAGTTTGCCCTTTTGGTACTGATGAGGGGACACAGGTTTCAATCTTACACTAAAAGGGGGTGTTAAGTGTTGCCGTGGGATTTAGGTGCTGAAAAAATCTCACGGAGCAGTTAATTAGGGGTGAGCTAAGAAAGGGTTTATTTGCCAAGGCTAAGATGTTACAAGACGCGCCCCTGTGCCCGAGAGGTTACATTTTATAATACCATCCATCCAATCCCAGATGTGTCCACCCCGTGGCCTTTACTCTGGACCGCCCCAGGGTCCACCCCCTTAAAATGGGTCTGGGGTGCATTTGGGGACCACCTACTTCATCACCTTCATCATCATCAGAGCACAAAGGGTACATAGTTACCTAATTCTTGACCGTATTCTGTGGCTTAGGCCCTGATATGCTGTTCTGTCAACTGTCTAGGCCTTGCCTTGACAAAAGACTAAACATTTCTATTGTATTCAGAAGTAGGATTGATACGGGGAGCATAGAATGGGGTAAGAGGGTTAAGGAATGTATAAACAAGGGTACTGGAGAAAGGGAAAGGGACAAAGAAGGGAGGGTTTCTGCTTTTAAAACCTACTTATAAAACTTACAAGTATTACAAATATTAGAAAAATAAAAAACCATTAGGGGCTTAAGGCATTATAAGAAAGGAGGGAAAAGGTGCCTAAATGCCCAGCACTTCCACATGGTCTGGTATGACAGGCTAAGGGTTAGAAAGCATGATCCAGTTCTGGTTGGGGTCTGTTATTTT